TTACTTGAACACATACACTTAAAACCTAAGACTGCGTCAGGGAGGCCACAGCAAGTGAACAAACAAAATGGTCTCTTTTAAGGCATTTTCAAGAAAGGAGCCAGAAGCCACACTAAGCACCTTTCTCCTGGCAAGGTATTTATCATCTTCAGTTTTATCAGAAGATGATACAGAGCCTCACTCCAACAAACCTTATGTCTGGAATTAAGCCCAAGTTATCACCAAGGACTCAAGGGTGATTGATTATTCATGTCCTTCAATATGCTATTGGAAGATACTCAAATATGGTAATGAAGGTAGTATAAGAATAGTGTCTTATCAAGCTCCTAGTTAATTTTTAAAGCTGATTTCTCAAGTATGTGCTGGTGGGAAGGTACTAGCAAGTTTATGCTCCCTTTTTACTTAGATGTAAATTCATCTGCTCAAGGTATAAGTTCATCTGTCATGAATTATTCTCCTTTATGTCTTTCCTTGCAATATCATTCTTATCTGTTCTTATCAATTTACTTTTTCTTCTCTGAACACGTATGCATTTGAGCCCACAACAGAATCCTTACTTGGTTTTCTTTTTTGTTTCTTTTTTCTCTCTCTGAGCTAGAGCTGCACATAAGAAAGGGTACTATTTTCTGATTTTTGTATGCTTTGTGTATCTATAGCTGTGGAGTATTCATTCAAAACTGTTAAAACTGTGTGTGGCAAGTTGAAATTTAAGAGGTTTTCATTAGCAGTTGAGGGTCAAATTCAGCACTGATGTAAAGCAAATGAAGTTCATTTCGTAATTTGAGTGGCATGGTACTATGGCTTCCATACACTTTCTGCTTATGAAGCTCCCTGCATCAGCAAGGTGTGTTACTCTATAAAGAAGTCTTCTGCTTCCCGGGGACAATTCCAGGGAATGGTGTTTGTTCATAATTCAAGGAGCAGTTTTGCTTGTTAAGTTGAACAAGTTTGTGCAATATAGTGTGTAAGGGTGTTGTTTACACAGGCTGCCTGGAAAGCAAAAGGCAGCCTTTTAAATAGAACCATCAGGTAGTACAAACTCTGGTGAGATCCATATGCCACCTTTTTACTGAGCTTTGTGTTTCTGTGGTTTTATAAGTATTACTGGGCCACTTAGAGGAGAGGTGAGTCCTTTGAGTCTCCACCACTCTTCCCACCTCACCCACTTAGACACTTTTTTTTCAGTTTCTGTCTTGAACCCTTGCCTTGGAGTGACCACTTGCTTATTTTTAGGGACTTAATTTTAGTTTCTCAGAGCATTTAAATGGTGCTGTTTATTTTGGACTCATACACCACTTGGAAAGCCTTCATAGGCAAAACTCCCAATACCAAATTTTATACATCAAAATCTTTCAGAGTGATGCTCTAACTAATGGGCTTGACACATAATTTGGGATTTGTGATTTTGTACTTAAATAGTGGTTTGCCTTCCTTATGAAGGAAAATAAATTTTTGAACAATTAGTGATATTTTGTTTTACAGTATTATAGTGTTACGATTGTCTTCAGCGTCAGAATGGCAGATGGGCAAATCATAGCTAAAGAAGAAATGTTGTTTTCAGGAGCCTGGCATCTGGCCTCTTGAAAAAGTCAGCTTTAGTTTTGTGATATCTTGCTACCTATACGTTTCTTATTTTTTAAGAAAAAACCTGAAAAATCAATGGTTTTATCTGAAGGTCTCATGCTGTAAATATTCTGACTTTACAGCTGAGTATAAGTTTGTTTTCACAGAGATTTTTTAATGTTTATTATGCCTGTCTTTTTGTGCCTAATGACATAGATTGAGTTCAACAAAGTGTCTAAAACAAGATTAAGGTTAATTCCCCATTAACACAAGAAAAATAGAGAACCCTTTGGGCAGTGAGAAAGCCAAAGGTCTTTTTACTGAGACTTTTTTTTTTTAATTTGACGAGTCTGTAATATCCAACATACTGTAACTATTCAGACTCTTTGAGTACTCTATAATTTAAAAAATTCATTGAAACCATTTTGACACTGGTAGTATCAATGAGATGGTGCTTTTTCAATTAAGATTTCTATTCATCTACCATTTTGTATGTACCCTCCTCTTATAAGTTAGTTGTTACTTGTTTAAAGTTAGTCCAGTATTTATTTGAAGGTAAGATATGCCCAAAACTTGGGATAAGTATTTACTAAATGTTTTGTGGGTTTTGGTAGTAATCTATAAATCAGTCATAATCCCTCTTAAAAAAATGTTTTAAATTGGTAAGTAAAAAACTTCAACATTATTTTAAAACATACATATTTTAAAGGAATGTTTTCAGTTTTCTCTAGCGGCCATGTATTTCTTCTGTTAGAACAGAAGTAATTTTCATTCAGCATCTGTAGAAGAATATCTTTAGGTATTTAAAAGAAAATGCTGGTCCTTCAGTCTCAAGCAGTGTTCTGTTTTTATAAAATATGCAGCCTTTCAGGTAGGTATAATATTTTGCATGTATACTGTACTTTCATCAGAGTACCTCATGAAGTCTCCTGCTATTTTCTGTCAGTCAGTGTAGACTCTTGTAAGAGTACTAGCAACCTGAATAACCACCTAATTGCTTTTTATCACAATGCAGTGAAGAGGGTTTTATAAGATCTATTACAAGATTCAAGGAATAGGTTATTCTTCAGTAAATGCAAACCTGTATTCTTATAGAGTAGCGTATCAGGACTAACTGTTGGTTGCAGTAAATGTGTCTGTTTTGTCATGCTGAAGCACTTCCAGTTTCAAGTTCTGCTCCTTCGTGCACAGCAAATGGTTCCACAGGTGAGAAACGAAATTGCAGAACAAGTTGACTTCCTTCCTGCTAGTGAAGGCAGTAAAAAATTCTGTTTCTGAATCAGAGCAGAATTTACTAACTTAATAAATGACTGCATCTGATTTTCCTTAAATCATTGCCAGAAGAGTGCAGTGAAACCTGTTTGAAATAACCTCACAGTGGACTGAGAAATCTGTTGCTTGGGAGAGGTGGTCTGTTGAGAAGAGAAAATTTTGTGCGTTTTACACATAAATTCATCATAATATGACTGTTAGTGACCATTACAGACACTGCAACTTGAGTTTTATTTTCTTTCAGTAAGGGTAGGAAGCAAACTTATACTTTGTAGTGGCCACTTTGAACAAAAGTTGTCTAATGTTGTGCAGTTTGTATTTTTCCCGTGGTTTTCTTACTCAGTATGCCATTTATACTGCAGAGTGTGTGAAACAGTTCATTTTGTGGGCTGAATATCCATCTACATGTATTCAGATATTTTATCTTTTTTTCATAAAATGTATTTTTTTCTGTAAAACTTGAAATTATACAACAGCTGTCTACTGTTTTCAGTAATCTTGCTGCCAAGCTCTAATTACTTGTACATATCATAATTATGAAAATTAACAAACAAAACTATATGAAGGATGTAATCAGCCTTGATGTTATTGGTGACTCATAAAAATACATGCGCTTCAAAATACATGAATTATTATTTTTTAAGTAGTAGTATTTTCTGCGATGCTAGATCTTTCCAGAAGCACAAATCACTGAAGGTCCTCTGTGTGCTTGTAAGAGTGCACGTCTTTATAGAAAATCACAAGTGAGCTATTACGGGTTTTAAAGTTTTCCCCCCATGTCCCCCCTTTCCCCTTCCCCTCAAATCCTTACCAGCAGGTATCCTACATTGAATTTTGGATATATTAGCTATTCTTTGGGTATTATTTGATCAGGTGCTAATAAACATTAACTTAGTCAAACTGCAGGAGATTTATTGTGTGTCTTCTCAGCTAGTATGTAAACGGTGTAACTGTTGTGGATTGCAGAAGTATTCAGTTTTGTTCATCTCTCATGTAAATATTCATAATTGTTGTCATTTCCCTGTTCTAACAGGGGATAGAGTAGAGGGGCACACAGATCACCCACAACCAGTATTTCTTAGAACGCGTGTTGTTTAGCAGTCTGTTATTGATGCAGTGGAGCTGCTGTTACCAGTAGCAGGTAGCTATTCACACAGATTGTTGAATTATTCGCTCCTGTGGAACCCTCACGTATTCACCCATAGTTCCCTGGCTGGAGCATCAGCTTGGGGGTGAGGTGGGGGTGGGCAGCCGAGCTCTGTGTTTGGAAGCAGAGGGTCACAGTGCGCGCGCACACCCTCCAGCCTTCCCCAGCAGCTTTTTGGTACGTGTTCAGAAAGTCCCTCCGGGGTCCCTTGTTTCATCGGTGGTGCGGAGATCATCCTGTAGTCTTTGTAAGTAGTACCCGCCACCCTCTTGGATGAGGTCTGGGTCCTGTGAGCTCTGGATGATGCTAGCCCGTGCTGGTGGCCTTGGGCAGTTGGGGCCAGACTGTGGTGTCCCGAGTTCGTCAGTTCTTGGGGGCCCAGCAGGATTACTGTTACTCATCTCCAGAGCTTGTTTATCAGTCCAGAGGAAACTGTTACGAATTACCTTCTTAGCACATACTTTTCCTCTCTGTTCGGCTTGCTGTTTCTGTGGTAACTTCCTCCGTCCATCCTATAGGTGCCTATAGAATCTCTTCACACAGGCTCGCCAGAGGAGCCTGGCATGACGTGATGCCATATCTGATAAATTATTGCCTGTGAATTACAGCTATAGTTGTTTGTGTGATAGCTAGTAACTATTATTGATAGCGTACCCTTGCCTTCCTTGTTAGTAATTAGCATTTTATTTATTTACATTATTATTTTAATAATTTATTTAAGCTATCATTTGAATTCATTCCAACGTATGACTATATTACTAACAGTTACAGATAGAAAAATAACAGGTTTTTTTTCTGGTAACATGATCAGAAGGCAAAGGTCAACTAAAATATGAATTGTCACATCCAGTCTTGAGCTTGGTATAAATGTATGTATTTAAACCTACAGTTTTTATCAAAGAATCTTCTTGAGAGCAGATTACTGTTTTAAAATCGCTGGAATGGATTTATAAGAATAGTTTTCATTTCTACTTAATAGCAAAATAGTTTCAGTTTTGATTTTAATGTGTTTCCACAGGTGTATCTTGAAAGACTTTTAACTTATGCAGAGATAGATATTTGTCCAGCAAACTGGAAGCGAATTGTACTGGGTGCAATTCTACTGGCATCCAAAGTTTGGGACGACCAGGCAGTGTGGAACGTGGATTACTGCCAGATCCTGAAAGATATCACTGTCGAAGACATGTGAGTGCAGTATGTTTATCTTTGTCAATGAATGCCAAGATCTGCATGTATGAGGGGGATGGGAAGTTCTCTCATAAATTACATAAAGTTTGTATATCTGCATTGTATCTAAACACGGTGGATGTTGATAGATGGCATGAGGTCTACTTGACAGTTGCTTACACAGAAGACATGAATTATCTTTGTTTCCTGGTTGAAGTGTATTTTACCACTGGATGTTCATGCACAGTGCTGAAAACAGACCTGCAGAATATTTAAATGTATGACTTGACAAAAAAACCCACATCCAATGAGTCGTCATGTATTGACTTCAGCAACATTTGTTGTCGTGCTAGTTCTTCATACAGACAGTAGACTAACATGTAAGGCAGGAAAATAGTTTGTTGTGATCCTAATGACCCTCAGATGATCACCCACTTATTTATTACCATTATCCAAAATCAGTGCTTTTGGGTTTTTGGTTTTTTTTCCCCTGTGTATCCTACTGAGTTCATTTCCAAGAAGGTAAAAATCTAGTATTTGAACTTGCAAAGAGAAATTTCCATTTTTCCACTTTTTTTATCTGATGGCATTCTTAAGAAGTGCATATTGTAACAGCATAGAGAGTTGTGGTATCTGGCTGGATACTCCTGAGTCATATTAAGAGTATATTCCAACAGTGATAAAAAGAAGAACTGTAATAAGAATAAACGCAATTAAGATCTTAATGTTTACAAATACTAAAATGAATGCTCATTTCACGAAATAGCCTAGTGCTTTTTTTCGGTTGGTTGGTTAGCAGCTATTACATATACTGGCTGAAGCGCCTGGGGTTTGTATCATCTGTACGTTCAGGGCTGAGTCACGTACCACGCGTGCTTTCCGAGGTGCCCTTACCTGAGCTGGCACGCGTGCGAGAGCGGCCCTGGAAGGGCTGCGGGTGGAACTGGCGCTGGGATGGTGCCAGGGGCTGGATGCCCTGACGGGCCACTGCGGCTCTTGCGTGCAGAGAATGACGTTTTCAGTCTACTGGTGCACCCCTTTTTTTATAAGAACCGATAACAATGACATTATTAAAAAGATGGTTTAGTACAGTATCTCTTGTGTTTCAGAGCTCTTTTAAGCAGAGCTAAGTATCTGTAATGAGAAGTATAGAGACTCGTCTCTGCTTTAACTCACTTAAGTCAGGATTGCAGCCACTGAAGAGAGTTTGTTGTGGATAACCGCTCTGGGAGGAGGGAAGAGGGAAGGAGGGAAGTAGATGAGAAGAAATGTTTATACAGACAGAATGTTTTTTGAATCTCAGTTTGCAATCTCAAAGCAGTGAAAGGCCAAGTGTTTTTGCTAAAGCAGCCCTAATTTAGTTTCTTAATAGTTCACCGTTTGTCAGATTTATAGCAGGTCTAAAAATGATCTGCAAGGGAAAGGTTGAATGTTAGGAGTCAGCTGATTGCTTTAAATTAAGCATGCTCATACACTGCTAGATAAGACTTATAAATTGTTAGTAGCTGTCATTGCTCAAGTATTAGAAAAGTTATCTCTAAATCTTGTATTAACAAGCAGTTTGTAATAAGGTGGGGGTTTTATCCTGAGTCAAAGTGAAAAACACAAAGCTTGCATTGCTGTTGTATGCTGTAGGTACTTTCATTAGTTTGGGGAAAACTCTTGTTTCAAAATAGAGGTGGGAAATACCACACAATGCCATTTCAGTATCTGTTTTAAAATATGTAAGCTACTTTAAGGATGGTTGATGTTACTTCTTTTCCAACATAATCCAGACAGAATGAGATTTCGAAAATCAAAGGGGGGGTAGGAGGGGCAAGAAGCTAAAATCAGGCCCTTCACATTTCTGTGGGAAATATTATTCCATGCAGAACAATTTGATAATGCTTCCTTGACTGCTTTGAGTGTTTCCTGAATGATTTTGCTAAGCTACTTCTCCCTTGATCCTTTTCTCATGCTTTCAGGTATTCAGTGGCAGTAAGGGCCTCCCTCCATTCACTCCTCCTCTAAGGCAAATCTAGGAGCTTTTAAAGTATTTCTGAAGCTGGGACACAAGCTGAAGTAGAGTGCTGAACAGCTTGAAGCAGACTGGCAGGTCTGACTGTGCCGTATGACAGTATTAAACAGGAATGGTTATAAATAGGAGTTTTGAAATTGCTGATTCTCAGGGCTTTTTTTGAAGGCAGGTGATGAGGCATACTGTGATGGTGTGAAAGGAAACAAAAAAAAGAGGTTATTGTTTTTGACAAACGCATGTGATGGTGCTACTGTTAGAAGTTGCGCTTGAGCTATATAACACCATTACTCATGTGGTGGACCTGTGCTTCCATGCTAACGTCGGCCCTCTTTCTGCCCTGCGCATTCCCTAAGCCAAACTGTGATGAGTCCTCATCCTCAAAAGTTTTTAGCTTCTTAAGCTCTTCTTAAAGATTTTAAGGTTCTTGCAAACCGCAAAACCAGAAGTCTTTGGGGAGCCTGTGCTCTCTATATGGTACTTCGTGATCTGGCTCATGGACTGTGTGTTTGGGGCTCCTTGTGAATCCTCCAGCAAAGATTTTGGTGCTTGTTAACTGGCTGTTTATATTCCTGCTGCCAGTTTTTCTATATTTCTTTTTCCTCCTATTCCTAGTCTGGTGGATATTTTTTTTCTTTCTTTCTTTCTTATTTTTCAGGTAGTTGGGACAGTACAGTGTTAAGATTTTGAAGTGTAGTTCTATGCAAGATGGGGGCTTTCATTGTTTATATTAATAAAGCAGAAAAACTCTAGGTGAAAATCATCAACTGCTGTGAGTCATTCAGCATAAGTGTATCTTGCAAAACATCACGCAGACTTTTCAGTGTTTTATAAGTCACCATCAGTACATTGAACTGTGCCTAAAAGCTAACAGAGGACTTGGGAGGACTGAAGTGCAGCGTGTATCTGTGGTCATGTACGTAGCATTACCTTGAATTTCTGTGCAAATTTGAGGAGCGGCCACAGGAAAGCATATGCTAAAGCAGTCTAATGTAGATATATAGGGGAAGGAGGGTATGGTGGTTAGTTAAATTACATTAGTTCAAATAAGAAATACCTGTTAATTTTTTTGTTCTTTCTCAGCTGTAGTTAGTGTGCTGATTTGGCCTTTAAATCTGGGAGCTAGAGGATAGTAAGAATCTGAGACTATGTTTTTTTCTTAAAGATTTCAGGATGCTCTTCAAAAGAGGTACAACCAATGTCTTTCTCCATTAAAGTAGGCTTTATATTATCCATTAACATAGACCTTTAGGCTTAGCTTGCAGAAAGTAGAATCTTGGCAGTAAAAAAGGACATTTAAAGATAATCTTCTGTATTTATTGATAGCTGTCTTAAATGTAGGGGTTTTAATTTGGGTTTTTTAAAAGCTAGAATCTTCAACAGTGTGAATTCATGCCAAAGAGTCCATATCCAGCTTTTAGATAGTCTTTTAATGTAAGTTAATATTTATCATTATGTAAACATAGAATTTTGGTGCAGAGAGAGTGAAGGTAAGAAAGGACAATGATTATGATATTAAGAGTGATGTAAGAGTAAAGAGTGAGAAGAAGAAAAATCATTCAGTGTCGAAAAACTACTGTACCAGTACTTTTTCTTTTTATGCTCAGATCCTTCCTCTTCTATTGCCAACTGCCTGCAGATTCCCTGCACACTTACACTGCAGTCAAAATGTAACTTAAATGCAATATCATTGTCAGTCAATACCTGCTAGGAACACAGCTGTGCAGTCCCTATACTCTTCAGCAAACATGTACAGCTTTTACCACCCATTTATTCTTTTATTTCTCATATCTTGAAATCACTGTTTTGAAGATATCATATGTTCCTGCATAAGCATTATGTAGGATGTCTAGGTACCATGCAATTTATGAATTTTTCCAGTGCTTAATTTTGTTGATTTGATTATTTCTTAACATGCTTTTTCATGTACTGGTATAGGCAATAAAGTATTGCTCTACCAAAGTTTTCATGGGGTGGGAGCTCAAATAGGACCTCTGTTCCTATCAGGTATTTTGACAAACACATTTGGTTTAGGTGCTGAAAAACAAATGATCACCACTGAATTTTGGTTGCACATCCTAGGGAAAAATTTCTTCATTCTGTTTGTAAAGATAAGACAGTACGCTGAAAAAGTCAGGCTTCCCATGACTAGTTCTAAATGATTGATTATGAAAGGCTGAAGACAGTAAATAAGTTCTCCAGTAATTTAGGTGTTAGAGTAAGTTGCAGCATTTATGAGAGATGTCTGACAAATTTAGGGCATGTCTGCATTTTGTGTTTGCATAGCTGTGTGTGCAGATCCACCTAGTGGAGGTACAGCAGAAACTACAAGAATTTTTTTTTTTCCTGCTAGCTTTTCTTTCCCAGATTGTATTAGCTAAACTGATGAGGGTGCCCTTCCACTAGCAAAAGTTTGTGCCTGGATTTGATTGCCACTGCAGCAGCAGCCGCAAGGTGCAGCATCTTTCATGTTCCTCATTGGCTCATATTCCTCATGCTGGTAGAACTTGGTAGACTAGGTCAGACCTTAGGCTTGGATAATTGCATCTAGCAAGAATGAGAAATGAACTTGGCTTATAGCATTTGCAATTTAAAGTAAATTACATTCAGAATGCACAGTCTGAAATATGTTTTCACATTTATCTTCTTTCTACAGGAATGAGCTGGAACGCCAATTTCTTGAGCTGTTGCAGTTTAATATTAATGTTCCCTCCAGTGTTTATGCCAAGTATTATTTTGATTTGCGTTACCTGGCAGAAGCGAATAACCTGAGTTTTCCTTTGGAGCCCCTCAGCAGGGACAGGGCATATAAACTTGAGGTAAGATACTTTCTTTTTATATTGCTCGAGTTGAATATATACGGGGATTTGGAACTTTTGTGGTTTTTCTTCCTTCTTCCATCTCTTCCCAAGTAATCCCCGTGAGATACTAGAATATCATGTGCCCCGATTTTCATAAGTGTTTTGTTTGTGCTTTGAGTATTCATGGATGTGGGGACAGCTTTTTGGCCCAATTTGCTTCATACCTTGTCTTGCTTTCTGTTTCTTTTTCAGTTCCAGTTGTCTGAATTGGCCTTGTAAAAGTACCCCCAAATTTTACAATGACTCTGTTCACAGTCTGGCTTTGTGTGCTAATCAGTTTCAAAAAACCAAGTGATCCACCTTAAAGGACAGAATTTTAACAAGTATTGCTGAAAATAACTATTCCATGTGCTTGTTATCTGCTACTGCTCCACTTCATGTCGATCCAAGTCTGTTATCTCCCGTGGTGTTTTTCTTAGTAATGGGAAGACAGAAATGAGCACACATCTTTAGTGAATAAGTCATGAATGCTTATGAGACCTGAATATACCATGTGCAGAAAGCACTGTGTCAGATGGTCTGGACCTGTGAAATGCAGGGCACTATGAATTCCCACAGACACAGGAGGAATTTAAAATCGCCAGCCAATTGTGGGCACTCTGCAAGACTGGAATCTATCTTTCCTGAGCTTTCTGATATGAAATTTTTCAAATAAGGGCATTATTGCATTAGTGTATACACATTTTGTTACTAATTTTGAAATTTGTTGTTAGATGCTAGCTGCTTTTAACATCATAGGTCTTTAATTATATAACAGCTTTGCACTAGAAGTTGTTTGCCTGTGGGTGAGAGTCAGCTTTGCACGTTCTGAAACTCCTAGTGCTCCTGTGAAACAGGCAAGCAGTATTATACACGTTTTTGTGCACTGAAATGGTGCGTGGGAAGGTTAATTGACTTGTTTGTGACTGTAATGGGAACAGAAAGTGGTGGAGAAGGAATCAAAGCAGATTTCACTAAAGTTGTATTTCTCATTCTTTCTGAATTTCACAGATAGCTCCAATAAGAATGTAACTTAATTCTGTGTATGGAGTGTGATGTAAATTTGCATCAGATTTTGTTTCCGTTGAAGAGAATTAAAAAAAAAAAAGTAAATTCATTGGGATTGTAATCTTAAATGAAAAGAGGTAGTTTACTAAGTTATTAGATGCTAGGTCTTGATAATAAGTGCCATTAGATATATTAAAATTGAGTGAACTACTGTTTAAAGAGAATTTAGTACAGTGTTTCCCAACACTGCCACTCTGTATTGCACGCAATGTATAACAGCCGGTTACAAATGAAAGTAACAATGATAGCTCCTAAAACCTTGGAAGAAAAGAAAATAGGAAATGACTGTAAATACCCAGAGAATACTGGTGGTTCTTCTGTACTAACTAAAGAGAAGGCATATTTAAAAAGAAGTAATGGGATATTTTCTTCAATAAATCCATATTACGAAAAATTTTCCCATGTTGGGGATGCTTTGTGCTGCTAGCAGAAGTCGGCTCTAAAGTAAACCTGCTAGCCAAAGAGGATGTCTTCAGGGAAGAGTATCTGCTGTGAGACCAGCTTGGTCTACCAGCTCCTTGCCTCTGTTCTGTGACCAGAAGGAAGGGAACACGATGGGAACTGCCTTGTTCCCTGGCAATACTTGGTTGTCATTAGTGTGCCCTTGAAACTACTTGACAGCATAATTTATAGCCTAGTTCCTTGAGCACAGTTAAGCATTTAGCTTGCCAAGAGTTATCAAAATGCATTTGCAGCACTTTTCTAGGTCTCTCATGTGCTGTTCAGCCCAAAGTTCTCTGGTTTTAAATCAGTTGCCTGGATTGTCAAGTGGAGCAGATGTAGTACCACACAGGCTGTGGTATTTTTGATACTGAGAGAAAAGCTGCAGTCTGTGATGAAAGACAACAGACTCGTAGCAAACGTACGTATGTAGTGGAAGGATTTGCCTTGTCTGGTAAACTGAAAGGAGCTGCCTCAGTCCCAAGATTTAAAACAACTTATTTACTGACATTTGAGATCACAAAAGGTCTTGCATAGAGAAATGGTTATATTATAACACACTTTTACTACTTTGGTGTTTTCAAGCTATTTTATGTATCTAAAGCAGGAGTATTAGATCTGGCATGGCAGAATCTGTGTTGCTATTTCTGCAAATATCATGAGGTTGACATACCTGTGATGAAAAAAAAACCAAACAAAAAAAACCAACAAACCCAAAACCAAGAAGACCAAGGACAAGGCTAGTAAATACTGTTTCTCATCAAATGGAAATGCTGGACAAGATCCATCAGCTTGGAGGTGTTATAAGGGCTTATAGTACTTGTTAAAAATGACATCGCTTTCTGGAGCATCTGCTGTGGATGTTTTTCCCTATTTAATGTTCCCACAGTTGACACTTAAGAAGCAGCTTTGTCTTTTAAATGACCAGATGAAAGTAATTTTTTCTTACTTTTTATCAGTCTGTGGCCTAAAAGTGTCCTGAATTTGCTACACCAGTTTACCAGGTAGCCAGAAACCATTTTCATGACCCCTCTTTTTTTTTTTTTTTTTTCCCCTTGTATGGAATCATGCAAGTTAAAAATGGCAAATAACCTTTCATTACATCATCCAGTCTGTCCACATGCCAATGCTGGTTGTTCCAACCAGCATATGTTGTAGCGTGTTTTCTCCTTCCTTTAATTATGTCAAATGTCAAGGCTTCCTTTGCTTCTCCTGAAAACTATTTTCTAATATGGGAGATTTTTCTGCCAAGAAGATTGTTGGATATCCAACCTTAATGCACTACTTTGTAATTTCCTACTCTTGCACCTGGTTATTCTCCTATGAACTGAGCTAAGTATGAGTCAGATTCTGCTCTTCAGGGTAAATACACAAGACGTGCCTACCCTATTTCTGCTTGTGATCTTAGCGTTGTGCTCATTTCAAGGCTAGATTTTGTAAGAGCATTCATTAGTGCACTCCCAATTTAACTGACTGTATGTTGTGTCTGAGCTTTTTATTGTTAGGATAATGCTTAAGCACTTAGTTCAAACCCTTAGAACTACGTGCTGTATTTTCTTGAGCCTAAAGAGGTACAGTCCCATAGGTCAAACAGACAAAAAAGAGGAGAAAAGTATCTAAGTTACAAGTAAAGAATTGTCTTTGTATCCCTCCAGCTTCCCACTGTCACAGTGATTGATCACAATCCTGCATGTTTTCTATGTTTAGAACCCTCTTAGCCAAGGAGCGGAGAGAAAGCAAAACTCCCCTGCTCTTTTGTCAGGAGTAACCCGATAGCTCTTCTTTTCATTCTCCATAAATTAAGGCGAACCCCCATCATCACAACTTCTAGTTCTTCTAGTGATTTATTTTTTTTTTTAAATAACATTTTCCTTATATATAACCTTCCAGACTTTGTGCTGTCTGTCCCTGCTAAGTTCTCTCTGCTTTGTCGATTTTTTGGAGGTATTGCAGCACTCACAGTTGTGTGCCTTTGTGCATTCCCAGCAGTGAAGCCATAGCCAGCCCTGCTGCTTTCCTGCCCTGCACAAACACGTGCATGCAGCTAAAATTTATACTATTACTATTACTGCCTTTCTCCCCCCTCCTTTCTCCTTACCCACCTTCTTCACCAGTGACGAAGTCTCATCTAGAGTCTTATAACTTAGCAGAGGAGCTGAATTCTAGTTCTGTGTGCACATATATATCACGGAAGACTATATATGTATGCATTTTTCTAGCTGATTACAGATCTTACAATCAAGTCCAACAAAATTTCACATGATTGAATAGTGTTCATGTTTTTAAGAATGTTTTGATTTCATATGAGAAATGGTCCCTTGCAACTGTGAAAAATTGGTTTCTTTTTCCAGCAATAAAAGCAACAGAAATATCAGGTGACAGAAAGGTGTTTATAAGCTGTTTAGATTTATTTTAACTGAAGGACAATAATAAATATTTACAACTTTCTGCTTTTGTTTTGTCTCCCCATATGTTATGCTAAAGTTGACTAACTTGCCAAACAGGCTCCAAATGTCAATTTTGTAAATTATTTGCACATGAAGAGGCATTTTTAGATATAGGATTGCTTTAAACAGTAGTTGATGTTTTTCTTATCCATATGATTAATCACCAGAGCCTAGAGATGCCAAATATTAAGTGCCAGTTCCAAGCAAAATTTCATTTTGTCTGACTAAGTGCCACAACAGAAATTTTCCTGTGAAACAGGCAATTTTGAAGTGATTACCTTCTCTAGCTGTTTGGTGCCTAAGGTAATAGCCTGATTGGCAGCTGAAAAAAGCTGAGCTCCACCTCAGTACACCTATTTGCCAAGCTGTGCCTTGGCACATTATTTCATGATTAGATGTTTTTCGTCTATTGGATTTCAAATCCGATTGAATTGCATAAACTTTCTTAGTCCATTGAGTTCCTGGTTAAATTAAATAAAATGTTATTAAGCAGTTTTAAGTGAGTTAAGGTATGGTCTACAAAGCAACAGGAATATTTGCTTTATTTTATTCTGTTCTCTTCATGTGCACCAAGAAAGAAAACTGTGTTCAAGAATGCTCTTAACAAAAGGAAATTCAGGTTCCAACTAAAAAGTAGCAACTGGTTTCTTGGTGGTGGTGGTAGGTTTTGTGTTGTTTTGGTTTTGCTTTTTTTAATTTAGCCATGTTTTGTGGCTGGCTTGACCAAAGCATTAGGTGAACTTGCTCTCAGATGTATGAGTTGTGTGCTTCTGTCATACCTGCCTCTGGTCTTTGCAGGACTATTAAAATTAAAGGGCTGTTCACTGCTACAACTTCCTGTGCTATAGAAGTTAAGATGAAGAAAGAAAATGATCAGTGGAGTCAGGCTGTTTATTTGTATTGCCTTGTTTTATAATCAAATGCTTGTACTGGTTTTGTTTGTACAGTACTTTTTATTAAACATTGTATCTTAAGACATCACTTACAAGCATTCCTGAGTACACAAAAATACTGGTTTAGTTCATCTTATTTTTTAATTTGACCTCGAGTACTCCTTGCAGTGAACTTTGCAGTTCTGCGCGTCTGATTGCCGGAGTTAACATCCCTACTGATGCCAAGCATAGCTTGTCCCAACCATATGAACTCTAATAGACAAGCTGGTTTAGGGCACAGAATATTTGTGCATATGAGGTCCATAATAAATATTTGGTTTAGACTTGGCTAAAAACAATAGAAGAAACAGAAAACGTTAACTCCAGTGCAGTATGATAGGAGTCAATATTGGAATGATGGTTGTCTCTCTCTTTAACAGGTTTTTAACATTTCTGTGTATTTTTAATGCAAATTAGATTATTCTGACATCTCCCACTGACACCATATAAGGTAGCCAGATCACATAGAAATCACCACCTCCTTCCAAAAGGCAGTAAACATCATCTCTGTAAGCAAGGCAGGGCGAGTATTCTGCCAGACCATTTATCAGTAGAGAAAAATATAATTACTACAAGACTTTTTAGAAAATAAAAAAATTATGAGCGATCCTCTTTATAAATTCTCCAAAATACTTACAATTTCTATAATTGTTTTATTAAGTTTTCCATGATTTTTCACCAATGAAGTGCTATATATGTTACCATATAGCAGTGGGTATGCATTGTCAGCTACCTCAATGAGATTTGTAATGGTTAACCTGTAAAAAAGGGCTTGGAATATGCTCAGAGTCCTTCAAAAGGAGCTGTGGTGGGCAATGCAATGTCAGTGTGTTTGTTTCTTTTAAGATTAATAAAATGAGAAAGAGGATTTGGGGAGAAGCTCTTCATGTGTTTTGCCTCATTAAGTGACTTTTCATAATTCTACCTATGTATACAAATCTGCATTTAGTTTTATTTTACCTGTACAGCTGTGGTCAAGGCAATTGAGGTTTTTTTCATTATTCTGTCTTACAGGCCATTTCCCGCTTGTGTGAAGATAAATATAAGGACTTCAGGAAAGCCGCAAAGAAACGGTCAGTCAGTGCTGACAATCTGACTGTGGTTAGATGGTCCCCTGCTATTATCTCCTAACAGAGGAGACTGGAATATTCCTACGGACATACTGTTTCATCCATCCATTTTTTTGGGGGGTGGGCTGGGGGTGAGGGGATAAAGAAAAAAGACTTTTGATTTTTTTATTTTTAAATCTGTCAAGCTGCCTTTACAGTGCCTCCCCGTTGTGTAGCACACGAGTAAAATACCTAGTGGAAGGAGAAATGGAGAAATCGGTGTTTGGGAGAGAAGATGGGCAACAATTTTTTTCCTCACTTTTGAAAACAGCTTTACCCTTTTTGTGAGGGAGGAAACAGCAAATCAGGTGCTTGGAAGAAGAAACAAAAAAATGAAGTAGAGGCAGAAAAATATTTAAGAACTGTGCCATTTTCTAATACGCTGTACTCATGAAGAGAAATGGCAGCATGAAAACAAACCATGTAGTCAGATGACTGTGCACTAGAGGAATGAAGTTGGGAGAGTTCCATCTTAAAGGTTTCTCTTAATATCTGTTTTATTTTTGTTGGTTTTTGTGTTCCTCATTGCTGCTTCCCAGGATAAATTCTTCCCCTTGCACAGCAGCAAATATGAAGTCTGTATTTACAGTAGCACAAGCCCCTGAATAAATAGCGTTGGGTTTTTTCACTGCACTTTTCTCTGTAAGCTGTCTTATTAGCATTATTCTTCATAATTATTATGCATATGTTATATTTCTTGTATGCCTTTTATTGTATTTCAAAAGAGAGAACTTGACCATAGTGCTGAACCAAAAGAGTGTACAGGGATCAGAAGATCTTCGTAATTTCATGATGTGTTTTATTTATAGTATACTTAGGTGCGTGTGCCTTCCTGAGTTCTTGGAATCATTTATTTTTCCTTAATATAAAGATACAGTTATTAAAGTATTCAGATGATGATGATAAGACTTGGGCCAAATCTCTGAAATTTGCAACAGATCTTGTGATCCTTTTTGCAGATTTTCATAGCATTAGAAGTTTAGCAGAATTCATTGTGAGAGAGATTTTTTTTTTTGTATGGCCTGACTAGTTCATTCCTTCACCTCCAGGTCCATTGTTGCAAGCAATATTCTCAATTTTTATATGTTTACTTTAAATCAAAGTAAGTCTGTTTGTATAAAATAAAAAATAATAAAAAAAATTGTTCCAGTGAGAAGGCCTGTAGAAGAGCAGAATGGAAATCTTAACAAGGTATTGTCACAAGTAGATTCGGTTTTGAAGCTAAAATATAAACCCTTATGTTTTTCAGCGTAGGTGCTTACAGAAATTAAAAGTAACCAAACTGTGAACATAATTTTCAACTCTGATTATTAAGCTCTTCTGTCGTTGTTACTAGTTCCCTCTTACTGTAGCTGTTGCCACCTTAGAATTTGTAAGAACCTTTTCTCGAAAATAACTTGTCAGTATAAGCGTATTTGCTTTATAACGCCCCAGGGTGACTTCCCCCCCCCCCCCTTTTTTTTTTTTGTCCAGTTTAAAAAGAATAGCTGAAAACTCTCAGTTCCCTGAAATACTTTCTTTGCGACTATCACTGAAATGAATGGCAACAGATGTCCCTGATTTATGCACTGCTGTGATAAACCATAAAGATTCTGTATTTGTTTTATTAAGCCCTATGGGCTTGTAGCAAACCCAGGGGCCCAGAGATGCACACTTGACTTCCAGTGCAATGCTGTTCGGATGCCTTCCGGGCGGAGAGACACTGACAGGATTGAAGTAGTAATACCAAACAGCTTTCTGTTAACTTTCTAATGTGATTTGTGTAGTTTGAGACATGAAGGTTTTGCCCATAAATTCACCTGATGTCCTTTGGGCCTTTAAAATAATTTAATTCTCATCACTTCTTGTTGTGCCAATGCATCAGAACTGTGAGTATCCCAAGTCCATTTTTCCCTTGAACATGGAATGTAAGGAAAGTGTTTATAACAATACAAATGCAAGTTACAGCATTTGAAACCTCTTTACAGATAGCATCAAAACGAACATTTTCAGAGCATTTGAAATTCATCCTTTATAAGCATAAATTTAGGCTTTAAAATATGTAAAATATTTTGATTTATCAACACTTTGCTAAACTATTTTCCATTTAACTTGATATCAGGAATATTGGTTTTATCCATTTCTGGGTGATAGAGATATGAACTTTGGATTATGTAAAGATCTCAATGCATCTACTATAATTTTTGTGAAGTTTATTAAACTACTTTAAAGATTGTATAGTCTATTTATTGTATGTATGTACATACAGTCTGATACTTTAAAAAGTGGATTCCGTAATACCTGGCTCAGTCTTGTTTAGACTATTGAATATCGTTTTAGCCTTGTGCACTGGACTCTACCTCTGTATAGGAGAATTTTCCATATTCTTAATTAGTACTGATTCTGTGATTAACTTGGTTATGTTTCTTGCACTAAGAATTAAAAAAAAAATCTGCTGTAAGTGTGGATTTTTTCTTTAGTTTAAGTTTTGCTGTATGAATCCTCTACATTTAGATGGATGTTTCTTTCCCTCATGGTTATAGGATAATTCTTTGCTTTTTCTTCTAGTTTGTTCCAGGGTTGCCAAAAAATACAATACCTGTCAGTAAATCTTAATAAGTGTCTTTTGTTTGCAAGGTATTCTATACCATGTAATTAAAAATGAATTATTATTTAGGATTATATTGTGTTTAGTGTAGTTTTTTAAGCAATACTGTATGGAAAATGCCATTGCAAGGTTAGAGAATCACCTGGGATGTGAGAAGGGAGGAGAACCAAATGGTGTTTTAATTAACAGCACAAATACATTGTGTTTTCATTTCAGAACCTGAAACTAAATTTGCTGTAAATGTTTTCTGGATTAAGGTTTTCATTATTGCTTTGGTCACCAGCTCAGAAATGAAAAGGTGTAGGAGATGTAATAAACCTGTCCCTTCAAGCATTATTGTCTTAATGAATTATTTTTATATGTTGAGCCAGTGGGCCATTCATTTGGTCATTTATGCATTGGTAATTGGATAAATATTTGAAAAAGGCGTCTTGTAAGGGCTTTTATTCATGCATCCCTCTGCAGCCCAGAGATGTTTCCCTAATTCCTCTTTCCATCTGCACACTTGTTTATATTGAATTTTTTGTCAGTGATATATATAATTCTGACAGACACTCTTCTTTGGGACTGAGAATACTGGAGTCATGTGATAAAGTGCAAAAAGAAGAAAAAAGTCAAATCACCTTTTCCGCCTTTCACAAACCCTATCAGTCTTTCAAATGATACATGTTTTCTATTGCTAAAAGCATACAAAATCCTGTCCCATAGCAGGATAACAGCATCCTTCTCAATAATTGTATTTTTTTTTGAGAGAGAGAGGGATCAGTATATATGGCTTAGTTTCCCTTAGCTTATTTAGCTTAGTTTATCATGTAAACTAAAAACAGGATGCAAGAACTGTTTACATTTACAGAGTCTTGGTTCAGACTTTGTTTTTCAACACCTCTTTCTCTACTTCCTAGCTTTCCTAATGCCAGAAACTTTAGCTATTACCTAAAGATTAGAAGTAGCAAAAACCTCACCAGAAAAGGGTGATGGTGTATTGGTGGCAGATGACAAAGTGACATCTGGTAGTGTTGGCTATATATAAAAATAGCAGTATGTGGGAGGGGATAGAGGAATTGAAAGGACAGAACCAGAAAAAAACCCAAAGCCTTAACAGCTGAAGCAACAAATTATTTACAGTCGTCCTTTGTTGGTAACGAACATTGCATTTTCCAATGACGTGTTTAAACTACTAACTGAAGTGCTGCACATCCACTGCAGACTCATATTGCTCGCTGCTTCTATGTGGTCATCATAAGGAATTCACTCAACCTAGCTTTTAGCACTTTCCTCACTTCTGTTTCGAAAACATTTCTGTAATCAGAATTTTTAATTTTTTTTTTAACTTGAATTGACAGTTGTTGAAAACATCTGCCTATCTCCGCAGTGGAGTGCCCACTTAGTGTCTCTAACAGGTTCTGAGAAAACAAATATAAACACAAACATAGCAGTGTGAATGTGACCTAGATGTGTATCGAAATGTTAGTATCTATGCCCAAAGTGCAGTAAGTGTCTTTCTGCTGTTTCTGGTTTTTCTCTTCAGCTGAACTACATCTTGAGGAAACCACAGGACTGTTGACAGTCTGAATTGTGTAAACTAAAGGTAATGACAGAAGATACATAGTGACCACTGTTAGGAGAAAATGCTTTAAAAAAGGAAGTGAGATTTAGAAGAAAAGCTGCTGATCATAAGGAAACCAAAAGCGATAGCAGACATAGATTATGATGCTGAAAATGACTGTTTCATACCACGTATGAACCTGCTTTTCTGGGTCCTTTATGAGAATTCACAAAAAGTGACTGGTGAATCGCAGAACCACAGCTTGAAAAGGACTGAACGTGTTAGCCAAGAAAGCCATGCTTGAGTTTGCTTCTGCTGCCTGGGCTGGGTCATCAGGCTCTTCCCATTAAAGAAAGAAGCAACAGGATGGCAGATCGAAGAAAGGCAGGCGACAGAGCAGTACAAATCAACTGTATTTCTTGTGTTCCTTCTAGAGTGGTTGGTCTGATGCAATTTGATGTGGGAAAAAAAAATTGGTTTTTTCATGCCCTTTACACCATGCATAATGTGTTTCAGCATTATTGGTGGAGACTTTCAACTGTTACTACTGGACAGACTCTTCAGTGATGATATGCTAAGAAGCTTCTTGGTGTGATGATACGTGACAGTATACTTACATTTCCCCTATGAGTTGTCCAGAATCTCTCTAAAGAGTTTGTAAAGTTCAGTCAAGGCATTGGACAGTATCTTTTGTGAAGATGTCAATGGTATCTACAGATTGAGAGCAGCAAATAACAACAAAATGTCAAAAATTGTATTTGTGAAATACAATTTCACCAGGTACTTACATAATTTAGTTTCAGACCTGTTTTCGTTGCATCTCTGCCACTTGGACTGGGGTGCTGTGGTAACTACTGAAGTAAAACTTTGAAGCTGGAGAATCTTTGGAACTAGCGCTGCTGCCCCCTTTGAATTCGCTGGCAGTGAAGCACATCCTCAAAAGGCAGATGAAGACTTACG